TTATAATAATACAATTACAATTACAATTTGATATTCATAGTAATCAATAATCATAGAAATAAGCGTGTGGTGATTTGTTGTGCCCTATAGTTTGATAGAATTTATAAACTTCCGGTAGTTAATTAGATATGAAGAAAGTGTTTCTTTACCTCTCGTTTGAAGACGAAATGTGATTTTATTTGTTTGAAGTCTTTTGCAAGACAGTTCCAAATTTCGATTCCTTTGTTTGCTAGGGAATGTTTTGAGTAATTTGTTCTTTTGTAAGACTTGTGAAGGAGCGATGCATTTCTGGTATTGTGATGATTTATCTCGTTGTTGGATACAAAATAATTACAAAAATTTCTGGTAAATTTCGTACTTTGTAGTATCTGAACATAAATAAACTAGTTAAATACTCATTTATTTTGTAGATGTTGAGTATCTTAAGTTTCTTAAATATCGGATCAGTGTGCTCAAAATAAGAACTAAACGTTATCAATCTTACAAGTTTCTTTTGAATGGTGAAAAGTTTTTGAATACGTGTCTTATACGTATTCCCCCAAATAAGGTTACCATAGATAAGATATGGATAGACTAACGCATAATAAATTAGTTTTAGAGAATTAAGGGACCGGTCATTATTTATGGCAGGGGTGGGGGCCGACTAGAAAGTATAATGAAGCCGGAAAGAATCATTACCCCACCTTTTTCGAAACAAAATTTCTAGCTACCCCACCGGTGGAATGCCAGAAATTTTTTTTACCCCACCCAAACCTATTTTGTTGCAATGTCAAAGACAAAGGTTCAGACATAAAATATGTAATGAAACAGTTTAGTATTTTGTAAGCGTATTACTCATCAAGGTACAAAATTGCCCTTGATGAGTAAGATCATCTGCTGTTAGAGAGTAAATAATAATTATTATACGGTTCTTTGACCACAGTGGCCATTATAATTAAAAGGGAATATAATAGGATTGATTGGTAATACTTGTTTACCAATATCCCTTGCCCCTTATTTCTTGTGGAGTAATTAAAGCACACTAACAGTCACACCTTATTATGGGTTACCCCTACAATAGCAAGGTACTATATAAAGAATTATAGTTATCTGAAGGCTTAAAATTTGTCTACTTGTAAAATTGAAATATGAATGGGTTTTTATAGTTTCTATTCAACGCTATATTCCCTTTTCACGAGATAGTGCAATGCTAGTCCCATATACATATATTAACCATGCACTGATATAAAACCTGTACAGCATATATTTCAGTATTTTAGAACACTAACCGTATTTCACCACCCACCCCTTTCCCACTTTAAAGTTTCACTGTATATAATTTGGTTTCTTTCACATTCATGCATTTCTTTATTAATTAAAATGCAATTTTATTGTGAAACAGTTTCACAAAATATGTGCTCACCCATGATTGCAACTATCTAAATTCTAAAATTTCCTCTGAAATTCCTTTAACATTTCCTTACTATAGACAATCACATGTATTATCACGGAATTTTAAAGGAATTCCTTAAGAATTCCCAAGGAATTCTTGAAGTTTATGAAATCAATTTAATATTTTAATTTGTAAACAATACAACGATACTAAAGTATATGTCCCATGTGAGAATATCTGAATTTAGAAAATGATGTTACTGTAAATTAATGAGAAAGAGTTGCTGTTATATAGTGTGAAGATAAAGATATTCATCCGAATTCCAAGTATGATTATATAAACAATTAAATTAATTTGTAAAACGGGTAAATAGATTTCTCTCATTTTATTCATGTATACATGGTCTGCTAGTAAAGAAAAACAGCTAGTTGCCAAAGACTCAGAACAATGTTTGAGTTGAACATATTATGATCTAGCCATTGGAATGATTCTCCAGATCGATTCACAAGGGGCATGGGGCATATTTCATGATTTGCTACCTGAATTGTCCACATGGTTTACAAGCACATACTGGATATAAATATTAGTTATACAGTATCAAATGTAGATGCCCAAAAATTAAATCCTGAAAATTTAATAGACTGTACATATACTTTTTGAGATATGTAATAAGGGGATGTTTATATGGGGGCGAGGCTGGATGCCCGGGGTTAGGGGCTACAGACTTAAGGTCACTTTTCCTGAGGCAAGATTTCGGGCTAAAGGCGGGGGCGGGATCTCACTTAGCTATAGCTGGGCCCACTCTTTACCCATATATACACAAGGTGAACTTTTAATAGTAAGAAATAACAACAAAGGCAGGATCTTGCCAAAACTGGGCCAGCTTGGGTACCCTGGGGTTGGCTTGCAGTTGCACCATTTAAACAGCTCCTATATATAGGCAATATATATTTTGTCTGGTCGTCGGAGTCTTTGGAGATATTTTGGGTAAATGAATATAAAAATGACCCTTTACAGGTGGGTTGAGGGGGGTGTTTCTCTCAACATTTTGGAAAGCAATAATATTTTGTTAAAAAATTAGAATAATCACATATTAAACTCTGATAGTAGTATATATTGTATTGTGTGTGATTAAAGTAAGGTTCTTTTTTTACCCCACCTCTGCATGCAAGGATTTTTTGGCCACCCCACCTAAAGCAAGTATTATTTTTCAGTTACCCCACCATTTTCTCTTCGGCCCCCACCCGTGCCATAAATAATGACCGGTCCCTAATATTTGTGAAGTATCGGATTTTGGAAATTATTGCAGTAGCTTTGATAATCTTTTTTGAAACTAGTTCTATATGATATTTCCATGTCAAACATTCATCTATCACAATCCCAAGGAATGTTATACTTTTGACCTGTTTAATATTGTCATTATTCATTGAAAGTTTGATATCATGACTTGTTCTTTTGTTTGGAGATTTGAATAAAACAAGTTTTGTTTTTTTCGTATTAATCGATAACTTATTAACATTAAGCCAATCTGTGATTTAATATATTTCTGTTTGTATTATTTCATTCAAAGTCTTAAGGCAAGTGTGACTATGAAGTATACTTGTATCATCTGCAAATAATACCATGGAAACAAGTTCGCTGCAATATTGAATGTCATTTATATACAGGAGAAATAATAAAGGTCCTAAAATAGATCCCTGAGGAACACCACTGTTAATTGTGAATTCCTCTGATCGTACATCGTTGTATTTAACAATTGTTTTCTGTTATTTAAATAGCTTTCAAACCATTTTTGTGCTATTCCTCGTATTCCGTAGTGTTCCAGTTTTTTAATCAAAATCCTGTGATTTATTGTGTCAAATGCTTTCGATAAATCAAGGAAAATGCCAATTGTGAATTCTCCCCGATCAATCGCAGCAGTAATTTTGTCGATAAAATCAATCATCGCAAGCTCCGTTGATCTGTTTTTCCTGAAACCATATTGGTGTTTTGATAAGATTTTGTTTTTTACCACGAAATTTATTAATCTATTGTACATCAACTTTTCTAATAATTTGGAGAAACACGTGAGAACAGATATAGGTCTGTAGTTTTCGAATCTAGTTTCATCGCTATTTTTAAAAATTGGTGTAACTAATGCTTTCTTTAAATCTTCAGGAATAACTCCATGTAGAAATGTTAAATTAAAAATGTGTGTTAGCGGCTTCGAAATGTCTTTAGCAATATGTTTTACGATTTTTGTACTTATATCATCATACCCAGAGCTTTTATTGGAGTTCATATTCATTATTTCATTTTCAAGTTCATTTTCAATAATTGGATTGAGAAAAAGACTATCTGTATAGTTACTTTTAAGGTATTTTTCAAAATTTATAGTTTTCTTTGTATTTATTTTTTTGGCTAGATTAGGTCCAACATTTGTAAAGTATTCATTAAATTTGTTAGCAATTTCGTGTGGATCATCTAAGACATTTGTTGAATTTGTTTCAACAAATACTTTAGATATTTTGGTAGTTTTTCTTGAATTGTTTAACAATTCGTTTAGTGTTTGCCAAAGCATTTTCGTATTTTGTTTGTACTTGATAAGTTGTTCTTCATAATATTGTTTTTTCGAAATTCTTATAACATGATTTAGCTTATTTCTATATTTTTTGTAAGCCAACTCATTTTTACTAGTGGGGTTGTTTAAAAATTTCTTGTAAAGTTTATTTTTGCTCTTTACAGACTTTAATATGCATTTTGTCATCCATGGACTTTTATTTTTGTTAATTTTTGCTTTATTTTTTCCAACTGGAAAGTTAGCATTATATGAATCTGTCAACAACCGAGAAAACTCGTCAAAGGCTTTATCTGGGTTTTCAGTCTCGTTCAGTACACAATCCCACGATGTAGTTTTAATGGAATTTTTGAATGATTCTATGTTTGTTTTATTTATGATTCTTTTAAACATATAAGAATTTGAATTTTGTTGAATAATATTATGAAAAACATTTGTGTTATATGAATGCACTACTGGTAAATGGTCAGATAGATCACTTAAAATAATTCCGTTTATGCTGTCATTAAGTTTCTCAATATTGTTTGTAAAAATATTATCAATGAGCGTTGTTGTATGATGGGTAACTCTAGTTGCTTTCGTTATTAATGGGAAATATGAAGATGTAAACAATTGTTCTAAAAAACGGTTTGAATAATCACAAGATTCTGATTTAAATAGATCTATATTGAAATCACCCATAAGATAACAAATTTTGTTTTCTTTATCAATTATATCTAGGATTTTTTCCAATGAATTTTCGAACGAATCATTCTTATTGTTTGGTGGCCTATAAATTTCACCTATAATTATATTTCACTTCCTTCGTCTGAGTTTGTTGAATCATGTGATTCTTCACTGGAATCAACATTAACAGACACAGGTGGTTGATCAGACGTAGAACTCTTCTTAATGTTCTTATCAGACAGCTTAAAATTTCCAAAGCTTTGCCTGCTGATTATAAAGACTTCAGCCATAGAAGGTGCTCATATTTTGGATTTACTACAAAATCATCAGCTCCTGAACCAGATTTTCCCCTCATTTTGCTTAGATATCTGCTAAACTGTGTCCTGATAGTCTCATACCTTCGCTTTACAGAGTCAATGGTTTCGTGGAGTCGCTCTGCGATTTTCTTCCAGCAGTTTGCTTTCTTATTCTTGTCTTTGAAATCCTTTGATGCACGGTTGTATATAGTAGGAAAGTCTTGGATAATTCCATAAATAAGGCATCACTTTCTTGAATTTTCTGTATAGCAACAGCTTCATCTGCCATTTTGAAGTTAGATGATTTCTGGAGACTGGACTCTAATTTCTTGTCGCATTTCATCGCATTCCATCGTTTTTCATTTACACAACAGTCGCAATTTGTCGGCGAACATCGGTAACAATCAGGAAAAAACAAATATTTTTGTTTTCTACGATGGTCGCCGATAGTCTGGGAACATCCCCGATTACCAGTTTTCATTAATTGTAACTCATCGTAATTCGTCCTATCTCATCGGGAAGTTGATTCGACGATGATCGCCGATGAATTACGACATATGAAAACCAGGCTTAATGATTTCTTTATTAATTCTATTTTTTAAGTCCAATTGACGAAGGAGTTATAGAGATTGCTAATACGTTTGCACTCGTAAAGCTGTTGGTTATGAACCATTACTCCAATATCTATCAACATAATCTCCGCACCTTTAGCACATGTCTTTAATTTGTCTATAAATCATGGTATAGTACCTGACGAAGTGAAAGTTGCACACGTCATTCCTTTGTTCAAATCTGGTGATTCTGCAACATTTACTAATTATAGACCAGTCTCTATTCCAAGTTTCTCAAAATTTTTTGAGATAATTTTTTATAATCGTTTGTTAAAATATATCGATAAAAACAAATTCTTTGCGACAGTCAATATGGATTTAGGAAAAACATTCCACATCATTAGCCCTGATTGACATATATGACAAAATACCCTCTGCAATTGATTGAAGATAATTTGCTGTTGGGATATTTTTTGATCTTTCTAAAGCTTTCGACACAGTTAATCATAAAATCCTATTGGATAAATTAAATTATTATGGAATTTGTGGCTTGTCGTTAGATTGGTTTAAAAGTTATCTCTCTAATAGATTTCAGTATGTTGAGTTTAATGGCTGTCGTTCATCTCGGAAGTTGATTTCTTGTGGTGTACCACAAGGTTCAATTCTAGGTCCATTACTATTTCTATTGTATATTAATGATTTGAACCAAGTTTCTAACATTCTAGAATTTATATTGTTTGCTGATGACACAGACATATTTTTCTCTGGAAACGATTGTTGTTCTCTTTCAAATATTTTAAATAATGAATTGCATAATATTTCAATTTGGCTTAAAGCAAATATGCTTTCATTAAATTTGGATAAAACCAAATTTATGGTTTTTAAAACTCGAACGAACCAGGATAACTTCAACTTTATGCTCTATATAAATAACCACCAAATTGAGCAGACTAAAGAAACGTTATTTCTAGGTGTAATATTAGATGAATTTGTGTCTTGGAAATCTCATATCTCTTATATTGCAAATAAAATTTCAAAATCTGTGGGGATAATTTATAAGTCAAGTTTTTGTTGCAAGCCATTAAATGGCTTGCAATTATCATATAACTCAAATCTGTCCTGTCAGGATTTTTCACGTGACATGACTGCATTCCGAACGATTCCAACCATATGACGATTGTTTTGAAAATGGCTTTGACAGGGGAGTGAGAACTTCGGGTGTTTTAATTTTTGCTCTTTTTGGTCTTGAATTTGTGGAGAATGGGACACCACAAATCGTGAAGAATGTTCAGTTTTGTTTGCTGTATCAATCAAGCGAATGTAATGTAAATCTGTATGTACATTTTGTTTGTAGTACAGTCTGTAGACTTAATCGACACTTACAAATATTATGCAGATTTCAAATTTGTTCCATTGTCTACTCTGTAACATATTAGCTTTAGATTATTTGGTTCATTTTTATTTGCTGTATCAATCGATCAAGCGAATATTATGTTAATCTGTATGTACATTTTAATTTGACTTTTTCTATTTAACTCTTTCTCAGCCGGGTCCATTACGCCATTTACGCATAGAACATGCACGGTCTACGGATGTTTCGTTCATATCTTTGGTTCAATAAACGCTATGTTGATGAAAATACCACCATTCGATTCAGTATTAAAATATATACTAATTCATAACGAAGTTTTAGTCAATGACTACATTATATGCAATATTACTAACAAATTATAAACATAGGCATACTTTTCGCCGAACATAACTTCGGTCCCTTGAGACGTATTGCTCATTCTGATATTCTTGATGAATTAAGCAGTTGAAAATAACATGAATAGTGTTATTTTCAAGCTTCTATCTTTAAAAGTGTGACTTTTAGTGCTGAATTTTGTATTTCTGCCCAGAATTTGTGTTAATCCCAACCGGAAATACGACGAAAAATCGTCAAAACAATGCTACGCTTGTATCGCGCGACTCTGGAAATGCCAGAAATGGTTCTACAGGTCAAAAGGCACCTATATGCATGAGTTTGACGTCACCTGGCTAAAGAAGCTCCTTATTGGCGAAGTATTACGTAATACAAGCGCGTGCAAGTAAAACCCGATACCTTGAAAAATTCAAAATAAATATTTCTACTCGCCGTATTCATACGAAACTTTCTACACAAAAGCGCTTGAATACAAAGAGTATTTTACACATATAGCCTTTCAGAAAATGACGAAAAGTATAGAATATATTCAACTTTTTCTCGTTTGAATATTTGGCGAAACAGTGAGTATAAATATGTGATTGTTTCGGTTTATGTAATGTTTTGACGGCACTTGACCCCCGTTCGAAAGGTTATATTATGAGGATTACAATGGTGGGTTTTGTTTTAAAGGGGGATAAATACTCGCCGCGATATTTACATCAGAAAAATTGAATTGAAATGTAATATGAAACTACTGACTGAGAAAGAGATTAATTATTATGAAATCTATATTAGACTATATACTATGTACTGTAGACTTGCACAATGGAAATATTATGCAGATTTCAAATTTGTTTTGTTCTATTGCTTACTATAACATATTTACCCCATAGATATCTTATATACACTAGATAGTGTATCTAATTATTCTACAATTCAAAAATTGAAGCCATGATTGCAGACAATGAAAGCAAACACACTTAATCAGGTCACATTCAAGATCACACCTCATGATTTTGCCCAAAAAGCATCACTGGAAATGTGGTTTATCAGGTAGTATTTTATAACTCAAAGGGCACTTTTGCCCCCCTTGCAGCTGCTCCTCCTGCCCCTCCCAGTTCCGGCATCTCTGGTAACAATAACAGAATTTTGTAACGTATGACCTTGCAATTACTTTTAAAAATTTGTATCAGAATGTGGGAAATGGTATTCTGAGCCCTAGAAATCCAGCATTTTTTGTGACCTTGCCACTTAGTACTTGCCCCAAACCCCCACCCCACCCAAACATTCAACCTTAGCTATGCCACTGTTCTTTTTCTAGTTGAGGCATAGTGAATCCTGCGCTATCACTCTCTATTTTAGAGGAGTACCATGGACCCAATAAAACTAATCAGTTTCTTGTAGAGGCAAACTGCATGGGAGCCCATGTGCATTTGGGCCAAAATAATGATAAGGAAGTCCATGCCCTGATGTTGCAGTAACAAACTTCGGTCACAGTGGTGAAAAGGGCATACAAATTATGCCAACAAACACCAACACTTTTAACAAGTTTATAGTTAACGCTGCTGTGACTGACTAATGGCTTGCAACATGTACGCACTGCGTATCTATTTTTATCTTTCTAAACCCTTACTACGATAATTATATTATTCAATGATTTATCCATATTTATATTTTTGTAATATTGTTTGGGCTTCAACTTATAAATCCAACGAGTTATCAGAATCTTGAATGGGGCCATGTATGATGCCCATACTGATCCCTATTTCTAACTTATTAACTGGCAAGCTGTTACAATGTTACCACCCCCTAAAGTGGCAAGCAATATGGCGAATTCATGATTGAATAGCTGTTATCGTAATTGAATACGTCTATGCTATGAACCCTTTGTTTTTCATGTCACTCATCACCTAAAGGGGCAAAATTCATTTACTAAATTAATACATATCTATATTACAACCAATTTTCATCTTTTGGGATATGAATTATGAAATTATCAAAAAATTTTAAAATTACTTTGCTTTTTTTGCAGCATCTCGTTTACAACATGAAATTTAGAACAGTAACTAAGTGTTCAAGTTCAACAAAGTGTGCAAGCCAAAACACAGTTTTTGTACATCTTTAAAGTTTTTTGATTTCTTCAATATCGCCATTATTCATTATTTTTGAAAAACTAAGGTTTTAAACTTGAAAAATTTTGCGAGTTTCTGACCGATTTCCTTTCATGATACATCGTTGAAAAGCTCGAATTCGCATTCTATTTTCATATCCGTTGCTAGGCAACCCGATAAACACATGCTCAAATATCATGCCCGTAAGTTGAGGTGATCAATTTGCCAATTACCCACTTGCCAATCTCAGGGCACATACAGGCGCATTGCCAGTTAATGAGTTAAGGAACTCAAAATTTTTAAATTTGCGCAAATTAATTTCTTTATTAATTTGTTTATTTATGTTTTCGTATAATAGATCGATTTTGCCAAGAAAATTTGAAAACATGTCTACTTTAAATTATCAGGTGCATTCTTATAATACTAGATCGTTGAATAAATTTCGCCTTCCTCTGTGTAGATTAAACATTAGAAAATTTTCAATACAATAGGCAACTTGCATGTTAGCGCGAAATGGCTGCCGTGGAGCGAGCATTTTGCATGTGAGAAATATAGTTTATTTTTAACACTTTTTTCGTAACGTTTGAAAATTTTAAAACAAGGGGAACTTTGTAATGCTATAAAGTTTGTTTTGACTCAAGTGCAGCGAAATCGAACAGAAAATGGACGAGAAAATTCCTGTAAAAGAACTGAGGAGCGAACAGTGTGCTCATAAATACATTGCAAGAGGAAGGGCCTTCCCAACGTTTTAAGGTGAGCGTGCTTAGTAAACATTGGACAGCTCACCATTTTAACCTACAAATTTGTGTGTGTTGTTTCTTGATGTATATCTCGTATTTTGACAACGATCGAGTGTTTCCTGCCAATTTTTTCGCTTGTTGAAATCGACTATTAATAAATTCATGACAAATGTCTGTCGATCGTTCGATCAGCATGGCGC